AAACAAAAACAAAAGAGCTGGGGATGTAGTCAAGTGGTAGAGTGCTTACCTAGCAAGTACAAGGACCCAGGGTTCCATCCTCACCACACACACACACAAGTTAAAGCCAAAGACTAGAAGAAAATATCTACAAATCGTATGTGGGATGAAGCATTTTATCTTGAATATAGGAGCAGCTGGTACAATACAATAAGCCAAACAATGCAATTTAAAAACAGGCAAAAGTATCAAACAGACATTTCATTTAAAATATACAATACACTAGTTAACACATGAAAAGATGCTCATCAGCATTAAAGAAAAATAAATTGTTTTTCTGCAGTACTGGTATGGGCTCAGGGCCTAATCACTTGCTAGGCAGGTAGTCTACCACTTGGGCTATGCCTCCAGCCCTAAATTAAAATCTATTAAAATGCCTATAAACAAAAAACAAACTAGCAAAAACAAAAAAAACCTTCATAATACTAACAATACTAGGTATGAGCAAGAAGGAAATCCCATGAACTTTGGAAAACTGGAAGTTTAACTACAGACTTTCAACCCATTCATCAGTTCTACTCTTAAGAATCTTAAGAGAAACGAGAACATTTATCTGTGCAATGATTTATATACAAATATTCACAGCAGAATTATTTATAATAACCAAAAGTCGGAACAATCTAAATTTCCATCTACTTTTTAAAAAGATGAACAAAAAGCAGTACATCCATACAACAGAATATTATTGGACAATAAAAAAGAATGAAGTAGTGAGTGATACATGCTACCACATGCAAAGACCTCAAAAATATCATGCTGAATGATCGGAATCAAACACAAAAGACTACATGCTGTATAGTTTCTTTTACATTCCCAGAAAAGGCAAATCTAGGGAGGAAAAACAAGTAGAACAGTGGTGATGGGCTGAGTGGCAGTAGAGATTGGAAGTAGACAACCTGAGGGACTTTTTTGAGGTTATGGGAATGCTGTGAAACTGGATTATGAGAATGGCTGCACAACTCTGTAATTTACTCAATATCATGAGCTGTGCTGTATACTTTGAATGGATGAATGGACTTTATGGTAAGTAGATCATCTTGAATAAATCTTTTTTTTTTTTTAAACAGGAAATTTAACTCCCCTCCACACTGCTTGACAGTGCTAAGTGTCTGTATTCCTCAACACTGGCATAGTTCAAACTCCTCTGAATAATGAACTCACACTTAAACAATGAAGGGCAGGAATGTAAAGCAGGTCCTGTTGGGGGGAGGGTACTGTATAAGGAGGGGGAGGGTGAACGGTGAGGTAAAGGAGGATGAATATGGCCAAGGTACTTCATACATGTGCATGCAGACATAACACTGAAAACTGTCAATATCATTTTAAGTAAGGGAGAGGGAGATGAGAGAGAATGATGGTGGGGATGAACCTAAACAAGTGACATTCCAAATATCACAATGAAACCCTCTGTACAACTCTTATATGCTAATAAAACTATTTTAAAAATAACAAATATTTTAGCGATAACTGGTACAAATATTTTCTCAGTTTTTCATGCATTTAAAAATTTTAACTGTTTTTTATTGACCATTTTGAAATACTCACTTTCAGGTAGCCAATTTTATGTATGTCTTTATTTACAGTGTCTGTCTTTGGTGTTCTAACAGGTGATACTCACTAGGAGAATAAATGATCTCATTAGGTTATTTCTGGTGTGATATATTAGGCACAATGTGTTTGCTGTCATTAATCATGCTGAGACTGTGATTCTAGGCCCCGCTGGCTGGTGCTTCTTTGTAGAACATCGTATCATCACATAGCGACATGACTACTGCAGGTGTTTGTGGATGTTTGACCAGAAAAGTCCAGAACGCAGTCACTCATTGGTTCTACCACCACGTATTCATGAATGTTATCTTTCTCCTGCTATTCACTCACTCACTACCCATTATTGTAATACAGGAAACTCAACTTTATTTAAATCTTACAAACTCAGAAAGAGATTGCACTGTTTTGCTTCAAAAAATCATAGCTGTTATTAAAAATTTCAGTTTAATGTAGCTATAACTATAATATACAAATAATACACATATAATTTACAAAGAAGTGTCATAAGAACATTTTATATTAATAAATTATATTATGGCTTTGAAGTTGTACTAAAGCCTCATCAAATTAAGATATAATCAGAAGTGGGGGGGAGAGGGAGGGGGCAGAGTGGGTGGTAAGGGAGGGGGTGGGGGCAGGGGAGAGAAATGACCCAAGCCTTGTATGCACATATGAATAATAAAACAATAAAAAAAAAAGATATAATCAGAAGATTCATTCAAATGTCTGATAACAGAAAATGACTGATTTTTCAATTTCTGTATTTGATTTGTGCCTGCTACTGTTATATACCACTGAATTAAATACAAGCTCCAAAAGAGTAAACTCTGTGTCCCTCCAGCATTACAACAATGCAAGGATTCTAGATGTTTTCACCGGCCTTATTAGTACTTCCTGCTTTGCAGAACAATTTAGAAGTTCATTAAATAACATGTCTTGATTTCTAGGAAAAGATGATACAAAGTGCTAAGATGGCAAAAATGTATGTTGGGGGCATTTAAAAAGCCAGTTATAATGTAGATAGAACAGGCCATTCTTTGGTCTGTTCTTTAGCATTTACATACTAGAGTAGTATGTAAATTCTTTGGCAATAACTCCACTTTGGTCTCCCTGCCCCAAGAGCTGCGCATGAATTGTCTCCAGTTCTTTTTTTCCTGTCTTGACAGGCTTTATCTGACACCAGTGGTTTCTAATGTAAATGCCAGTGAACTCTAGGATTGTATGAGGCAGCTTTAAGGTTTGACTGATAGACAGGATGGCCAGCACAGCCATGTTTAATCTATGGCTGTCCCTGCCCAGTTACCACCCAGGTCTCTGGGCTCCAGGTGTAAATGAAATGCCTTCTTATTAATCCAGGAGAGATTTTTTTCATCTCTGAAGAACACACATGTTTTTTGAAGAATCACACACAGGTGGCTATACACAGATTAGCCTGTAGTCCCAGGACTCTTGGCTAGCTCGTTCACCAGCGTTCCCTGTCTCAGGGAACCATAATCAAAAGTTACTATTCCTATCTCCTTGGAAGGGAGGTGGCCAGAGACAGAAAGGTAAGAGTGATGGTCTAACCAACTGTGGCCAGTGAACAAGGAAAAGTTCTTCTAAGTCAGGGTCCATTACACATAAGGTGTGCACATCTAACCTGCTGTTTATCTAAACAATTGTTAATAATTCCTAGGAAAAGAGCTGGCCCCAACTCACTCCCTAACTCATTTCTTGATAATTATTTGCTTTGATTCTACTAGAATGTCCAATACATCATTAACCCTCAGATAAAACGATGAAAATAGTGGTAACATCGTTTAGTAACATCATGCCAGTACAAGAGCATTAAAAAAACAATACTGCCATCAAATTAAGTTTAAAAAATGAATCTCCTCTATCAGCACTCTTAAAATACCATCCATCTTCTTAGCTAGATGGACTTCTAAAAACCCTTTTGGATGTCCTAAATTCTTTCTGTCCCGCCCATTTTCAAAGGAAGAAAATGAGTAAATAATGGTTGTAAGGACTCCCGGGACTTACAGTACCTGATTCAGTCCTAGCTAGTAGCTCATGGTTGGTGAGATGTTGGGCAATTTATGTCTTTTAGGCCCCGTTCAGTGGGGATAAGAAGTGCTCAACCCATTCTAAGGACTAGATGAGATATGTAAATCAAATCCTTGTCCAGCAAGAAACACAAAGTAAATGCACAATAAACCTAAGACTTTTTTTAAACGATTTTAATTATTATGTTTTTTAATAAAGTGGAGAAAATGTTTGCACCACATTCTTAGCGATGACCTATAAGGTAAAGCTTCTGAATTTTCAAACTTGAATATTTTTAAATAATGTAGCCATACACAGGAATCAGTCCATTCTCTTTGACAAAGTAGGATATTATCTGAAATTTTGCTTCAAATTTAATACCCACCCTGATAGAGTTGGGATACCCAGGGGCAGGTGGTAGGAAGGCGCAAAGCATTTTCTTAGGAACCAGCCCGCACACGCGCGTGGGAGGCTTTCGCCCTCCCTAATGGGACAATGACAGGTCACAGCCGGACCCTGGGGAAGCTGTGTGACCCCATGCGTGGTTCCTGGTTTCCGGAGCTTGCGCGGAAGAGGACACAGCCCACAAGCAGCGGAGGAAGACTGAAAGGCCGGGTTCCCTCAACGCGGGCAGCGAGGGGTGCGAGGGCGAGCAGACCCCGCCCCTTCTCCCCAGTCGCGGGAGCGGACCTGCCGGCCCCTGACCTTGGCCTGGCCGCACCGGGCGGCGCGGGCGCGGGCGCGGTCCCGGCTCCCACGCTGCCCGCTGCCCGCTCCGCGCCGAGCGGTGATTGACACTGGAGTTGGAACGTACAGGTCCGCGCGAGCACAGCAGGGGCTGGGCGCTCTCTAAACATGGCTTTCTCTCTCCCTTAGCCTCGGAGCCACCGCGGCGCACCAGCCGTGGGCACGGCCCACAGGGGGTCAACCCCAGCATCCGTAGATTTCTTATTTATTTCCTCTTTCCCTATGCGCGTAGTTTTTCTCCTCTGGCTGCCTTCCCTCCACGCTAATCAGAACCTGGAGTTTGCAAAGAGGAAACTCCTCCCGCAACCGGGAATGGAAAACCGCCTTGGCTTCTTGTTGGTGGAAACCATTCCGGCGAGAATGAGTTCTTAAAGGGGAAAGTCGAGTCTCATGAGAGAAAGTAACACTCAGATCGATGCGGAGGGACGAAGGGAGGGAGGAGAGAGAGAGAGAGGGGGGAGGGAGGAGGAGAGAGAGAGAGCGAAGAAGGAAGGTCTGCAACAGGCATCTGAAAACAAGCACGGGCCACCAAAGGTTCCCAATGCCGAATTACTACCGCGCGCATTTTGCGCGCCCATCACAATGACGGGATGTGGCAGCGCAATGGAAGGCCTAGGAAAATCTTTTTAGGTAAGACTTACCTTTCTCTTCGGCATAATGACTATGGTGTTGCAGGAAAAAAAGTAAAGCAACGGGCTGGACTGCAGGCACCACCGCTGGAGTCTCCCTCTGCCGCTGCAGCTGCTCACGCGCAGGGCACCGCGTAGCCCGGCCTCCGACCCGCACCTCGCCGGCTCCCTCCCGGGGCCCTCCACTCGCTCGCCTCCCTGTCCCCCAATGAGGAGCCCCGCCAGCTGGACGCGAGGCCCCATTGGTTGAGGTAACGTTCTAAATTCCACGAGGCCACGCCCTCCTCCGTTCGCAGGGTAAGCTGTTGTAGTTTCCACTTCACTGAAAAATCTGCCTGGCGACTGAGCATGCCCAGTTCAACTAGTAGCCTTCAGGCCACAAAATCCTGGGGTTTCTTTGTTTTATACTCATTTTTTGGATTGTATCAATTAGAACAGTGTATACCGTCATAGGAAGGAAGAAAGAGTAAGGCTATACATGTTAACTTTATAATGTAAATATGTGCACAGCAGATATTTGATACATTTCTTACTCATAATAGCTTGTAATGAGTGTTTTCTGATGGAAGTCTGTTCTGGAAGAGTCTGGGTTCCCCCCTCTACAAATCTGGGGACGACAGTTGTTAAAATGCTTAGCTCTAATTTTTTAAAATCTGTGATTACAAATGACAAATTCAGCCAACTTCAAACTATTTTTAAAAATGAATAGAATATGTTTGTTATGGAAATCATGGAAAATGAACAAAGAACAGATTATTTTACATTTGAAATATGTATATATAAACACCTGTTATGCCACATTTTATGCATAGTTTAGTGTTTCTCAAAGTTTTGCAAGGCTTTGAACAGGCACTGCAAAAACACGTCTGAAAATTAATTTGGAAGTTTGTTGTGTGGGCTCTTTAAATCCATTCATGTAAAACATTTAAAGAAATAATTCAGATGCAATAAACATTCAAAAATATTAACTATTATATCTATTAAATTCCCTCCCATAGCAGGAATTTTTCTTCCTTCGTTTTTTCTTGTTTTCTTAATAAAATCTATTCAATCTTTAAAAAACAAAAAAGCTTCTGAATTTATTTTATAAGACCAGTTTTACCCCGAGACTGAAGCAAGCTAGATGGGGAGTCAGGAAACTATATTATTTTTAATAAGTATTAAAAGGGCCAAAGACATTGGAAGGAAGAAGTAAAAACTAAAAAGCCAGGGTTAGCTCTTCTCCCATCTCCTTTTAGATGTTAAGTCGAAAGAACAGAGAGACTTAAAAGGGCATTTTTGAGACATTAACAAGCTGCAAGGGTCTTTGGATTAGTAGAGGGACAGAAGGAATGAAAGGCATGTCTGGCAAAGGGAAAAGTTCTAAAATTCACCTATGTTCCTCTGTTTTGGGTAGGCCCAAATAATATCTCCATGTTTTAGCATCCATCTTTGCCACCCAGATCCAGTGTCTTAATGATGAGAGGTTGCTAGACATGACACATAGGTCCCCCCAGCTCCAAATGTATGAGTGTAGAGATAGGAACTGCCATTTTGAGTCTTTACTCCCATTTCCTGCATGGGAAACAGGAAATGTTTCTGTCATTTTTTCTCATTTCTCCCTACTTTCATTCTGTTAGCTTAAATTTCTTTTCAAATTAACTATCACTTTCACTACATTTTCAAATCTTGTCCGAATTTTTCTCTTGCAGGGCACAAAAAATGAGGTAAATAGCAGCCCTAAAATTTCTAGTAACAATACCAACATCAGTGAAAGAGTTTGAAAGAAAAGAGTTAAAAGGCCAATATGCCTCATAAACATACACATGAAAGTAGTGAACAAGATTTTAGTAAATCAAACTCAACAACATTTGAGAGAATGATACATGACCAGTGGAATTTCCCTTAAGAACACAGTTGGTTTAACCTCTATAAAGCAAACAGTGTAATCACCACGTTAATGAAATAAAGAAAAAAAAATATCAACAGATGCAGGAAAAGTACTAGTGAATAGGTAAGCAAATTGTGATGGACACACAGAATGGAAAAACTATTCAGCAATACAAAGAAATGAAATATACCAACATGTATGAATAAAAACAAAATTCTACGTGAAAGCAATCAAATACAAAAAACCATACTGATTGATTGTGTTCATATAAAATTACAGAAAAGGCAAAATTAGTTTCAGAATCATCTTAGAAGGCAAAGTTCACATGATAGGAAAATATAATGAAGCCTTACATTGCAAATATGACCAAATCCACTGGATTTCAAATTAGTGTCTGTTTCTGTTGAACCTGATCCCAATTGTCTTTGATAGATATCTTACTCTCAGGCATTCAGTGGATGACAACATACTCCAGAGAACTAAGGTAAAAATCAATCCACTAATTTAGAGCTTCACAAAAACAGAGATTAATAATTTTAGCAGTAAAAAAAAAATTCATCTTTGGAACGAAGAATTAATTTGTCCAGTGCTTGATAGTTTTGTTTTGTTTTTTAAGCCATGGAGGATATTTTTAATAAGATGTTTGAGAAAGATACTGGGTAGTGCTTGAAATCTGGGGGGTTTTTTTTGGTTTTTGGTTTTTGGTTTTTTTGGTGGGACTGGAGTTTGAACTCAGGGCTTTACACTTGCAGAGCAGGTGCTCTTCTGCTTGAGCCACACCTCCAGTCCTGAGTTATTTTTCTTTAGGGAGATTTAAAGACGTTGGACAGGGCAAAGGTGAATTTTTCCTTTCTGTGATGTGAAGTGATTAACAAAGTTGACTTCATTAGTTTATATTTTTCAAGATAAAATGCTGAATTAACAACAGCAAACAAAATTGTGATTATTTTTACTATACATAATGAACAGTTTCAATGAAGCTCCATAGGTGTATAAAGAAAGTTGATTATGAGAAGCCCTTATTTCAGTCTCCTAGTTCATCATACAAGTGCTGAAAATAACAATGTTGCTTGAAAAACAGCAGTGGTTATCTCCCTTTTGATGTGGATTGAACCTGTCTGAATAGACTAGAGAGCAGTGTGTTTTCCTTGTACCTTTAGTAGTCTTCAAGATCTGAGAAAATCAGCTCTGACCTCTGTTGGCAGCACTTGAAGTAAGAGGAGTATGCAAACGATTTGATAGGTAGTTAGAATTCCAGGTTAAATTAAGAGATAAAAACACCTGAGCATGCCACACACAAGATACTGAGGAGGTAAACCTGGTATGAAATAAATACTCTTGGATTTTAGTATATTCGACTGAGCATTTGTACTGCTTTGAGTATCAACCTCCAAGACAGTAAAAGCTTCTCAATAGGTTGCAGAAACTACATTCTTCTGAGGAACAAAGAAGGAAAAACTAGTGAACAAACTTCTTTTCCATCTCCAGCTCCTTTCTCCTTTCCTACTTCAAATTGCTGATCCTACATCTACTCCAGCCTTTTTCAAACAGCAAGGCAAAACCATCTGCAAGTCAGGCACTGGTGGCTCATATATGTAATCCTAGCTACTCAGGATCAGTAGGATCGTGGTTCGAGGCCAATCTGGACAAAGAGTTCCAGAGACCCTCTATCAAAAATACCCAACAGAAAACAGGGCTGACAGAGTGGTTCAAGTTGTACAGTATTCAACTTGTACAGTTCAAGTATGAGGCCCTGAGTTCAAACCCCAGTACTGCAAAAAAAAAAAAAACCCCAAAAGCAACAACAAAAAACCCCACTTATTTGCAGTGTCATGACTATCATCACAGAAAAGAATGAGAGAAAGAAAGGAATAGAGAAAGAGAAATAGAAAGGGAAGGGAAAAGAAAAGAAAGGAAAGCACACAGAGATATGAGAGTGCATTTCACTAAAGACAAGTAGTATTTTATTAGTGATATTTTCCATACATGTATACATAAGCACCCATGTGATATATATGTACATGTACTGGGTTGTGATGTGAAATGTATTTTTCCTATTGGTCATGGTGAAAAATGTTAAAGTGACTGCAGAGTGCTAATGAATCTGTGGATCTTTGGGCTCCTACAATTTATTCCTCTGTGAGTTTAATCTTCAAATCTTGAAAGAAAGTTTGAAAAGAAAGGATCACTTTGCAAATCACCCTCTTCATCTGCTCTTCCTTCCTCTTTTGAAATAAGCACTTTTGAGCTTCCTTAAGCTTTTACTCTAAATAATGGCAAATTGCTAGAGAAGTGTATATTGTTGCTTCTGATAGCTTTGTAATTCCAGTTCTTCAGTAAATAGGCCAAAGAATTCCAAGATGAACTTGGGAGTGTACAAAAGGACATGAAAAACAGCAAACGAAAGTTGGTAAAATTATGCTGGTAGAGTGGTTCAAGTGGTAGAGCATTTGCTTGGCAAGTGTGAGACTGTGAGTTCAAACTCCAGTACCACCAAAACAAAGAAACAAAAATAATACTCTATTTTGCTTGTATCGACAAACATTCATGAAGTTGGGGTCAGGTGTGCTGGGCACTCAGATGGAGATGCACAACAGCCTTGTTACTTCTTTTCTCTGTTATTCTCTTCTTTTACCTTGTTTCTTATCTTCTTTATTCTTTAAAGCCTTCTTTACTATTCTTTAAAACTTTGCTTTTTTTTTATTCTTTAAAGTCTCTTTCCTTAGACTCACACTGTCCCATGTTTTTCTTAATCTCTGTTAAAGTCTTGGTTCTCAGACTTACACTGTCCCATGTTCTCTCTGAAAGTCTTTGCCTTCAGGCTTGCTCTGTCCCATGTTCGCTTTTAAAGTCTTGTTCCTTAAACTCTCAGACACACAAACAACCAGCAGCAGCAGTGTCATTCTCACAAGCAGCCCACCAATCCAAAAAACCCTGTCCTCCTTCAGCAAGTCTTTCATATACAGTGGTAAACAAGGAGGTGGAGTAAGAGTTCTTGGGGAGGGGCATGACATTGTAACAAGAGAAACCTGCCTTCCTACTTCTCTGAATGTAAACAACTTAGGAAAAGCAGCTGTGCTGCATTTTGCCTTCACCCTCTTCTGCGACTGGGGCTGTGCCAAATTCAACCTGTAGATCATGGAGCACGACTGTGCTTATGTCAAGTTCTCATAGGCTTCCCATAATCCACTCCCCACAACAAGAAACCAACTGTAGTTAGATTTTGGTGATGCATATCTGCAAAATTCTGATGATTTTTTAACACTCTTCAAAGCAGGAGCAAAATTCTGTGGGCACAACTCCCCCCATAGCCCTCACCTTGTGCTCCATCTCTCATTCTAGGTTTGCTGGCACTGGTTGCTTATTTCACATTCTCTTCTTTATTTACAGTGATTAAAAACTGTACA